GACAGGCCAGGAGAACAGAGAGACCATATGGGACTGCTGTGCATGCCGGGTGAGGGGAGACAGGAGGGGGACAACAGGAGATGCCTCAGGTGGTTTGATCAGTTGCTATGGTTTCTACGGCCAGTGTTAATGCCAGCGGCTGGCAGCTGTGTAAGTACATTACCGACATGTAGATTGGAGTGCAGGCTTCCTGGGAAGAACGTGAGGAAGACGTGACTGTATGCTGCTCAGGGTGGGTTTCAGCCAGAGAAACAATCCATCGTGAAAGGTTCTGATGAAAGAACAGTCAAGGGAGTGGATTTGATGGGAAGGGAAAAACGGCGTAGAAGAGGGCATTACTGTGCCCTGGGGACCAGCGCTGTTCAGGAGAAGCTCTACACCTTCTCATCACAAACTCACTGTGCTCCCCTGGGCAGTGGCGTCACGGAGCAACAGTCACTGTGCTCAGGGAACTAGGAGTCGGAATTTCTGGGCGCAAGTCCTGGACCCCAAGTTAGCATCTTGGCAACCTGAACAAGCCATCTCACCTTTCTTCACCTCTGGTTTCTCATCCGTGAAACATTCACTGAGCTCTGGAAGCTGTTATGAGGTTCAAATGAGATAATCTATACAAAAATCACAATTTAAAATTTCTACAACACAAACCCTCTTCCTTCCTTACCCTTTTCCCCTGCCCCCAAGATGACCAGTCTAAGGTAGACTAATTTCTATGAATGACACTTTAAAAAAAAAAAAGGTGTAATTCAGAACTCCAGGATCATCCAGATCACCATGTACCCACATTATTATATTGACTGTTCTGAGAAGATGGCTGCATGAGAGCATTTGATCTGAAGGCTGGTTTTATCTACAGGATGACAGAGGGCCATCTGTGTTTGAAAATTCATAAGAATGGACACCCAGGGGCACATACCTACCCATGCACTTTATGTAAAATAATAGAATGCTAGGAGTCAGCCTTATCAGGAATAGCCTATAATTATCAGAGCTTCTTTTTTAAGTAACTTAAATAAATGACAAATTTCTCCTTATAATCAAACTGGTTATCATGGTTCAAATCATATGATTGTGGTCCAGAGAGAATTTTATATCACAAGGCTGAGTAGAACTGCCTATGAAAGAAAATTTTCTATTGTAAAAGTAGTACAATTCCCTTTATCCTGCTTCCCGTAATCTAATATCTAACATAAGCATAGTAAAATTGTTGAAACGAAGAACTTAGGATTGATACCATACTATTAACTCATCTAGAGACTCTATTCAAGTTTTCTAGTTCTCCCCCTAATACCCTTTTTCTGGTCTCGGATTTCGCATTGTATTTCCTTCTTTGTCTTTAAAAAAGTCTTTCCAAACTTTACACTTGGAAGAGTACTAGCCACTGTTGTGTAGAGTGCTCTTTAATTTTGGTTCATCTGGTGTTTTCTCATGATTCCATTGAGGTTATAAATTTTTGGCAAGAAAACCACAAAAGAAATGATGTGTCCTTCTCAGTGAATATAGCGGAAGGTACGTGATGGCATGCATCACTGGTAATGTTAAGTTACCACTTAGTTAAGGTGGGGTCTGTTAGGTTTCTCCATTATAAACTAGGGATTTTTCTCTTTGCAATTAATAAGTGTCTTTTTGTTGTTGCTTTCTTAATTGATGGTTAAGGTTGTTGGAGTAAATGTCATTCAGAAAAGGTTGCAAAGCGCCCCGTCCTGGTGGAAAGAAGCTGTGCCCTAGAAAGAGATGGAGTCATTATTTAAGTGTTTGAGTAGATTTCTCTCAATCCATGCTGAAATGGATTGCCTGACATTACACTGCAGGATTTGTAAGTCCTACCTCCAGGCAAATCTCATAGTTACTAGCAAAAATGAAAGTGTGAAATGCTTTTTAATGTATATTTAACAACACATAGTCTGGTGATTACTGATGTGTATTCTCCATGGACTCCCTTTGCTATCAGAGGAGGATGTTAAGAGACAACATTTTTACACATTTATTCTATCTAAATCCATCACAGGTTTACTTTCTAAATATCTGTAACTGTCATTTATAACAAGAGCATAAAAATCAAATACTTTAATTCTAACTCAAACTTTGAATCATAGGATTGCAATCAATTTTCTGGACAAGTAGAGTTACTGTTTTTTCTTACTCTACCTTATGAAATTGCCCACTATTAAATGGCACTAGAATACAGCCATTTAAAAAAATAAAAATAGATATGGCTTAGTAATGGGGGTGTAGGAGGTAATGTCACTTTATTCATCTTTTTTATTTAGAAATTCACATAATAGCTCCTATTTAAAGGAATTTTCATCATTGAATCCAGTGTCATGTCTGCGTGTGTTGAAGAAATAAAATTCACAAAATGTATTTAATTTCTTCCTACAGTGTCATTATTTAATAAGGACTAAGGTACCATATTTTTTGCTTTTTTACTGGGTTGCACATCAAGAGTTCATGTCTTGTACTAATGTATGCTAAATATTTGCACAGTATAGAGACCATTATTGTTAAAATAGCAGTAGTGAAGGTGTTTTAGATCACAGAGCCCCAGTGGCCTACATTTTGTTTGTTTTGACATTGTTAAACTCAATCTGTTTCTCTAACTGTGACTCTAATGACTACATTTGCATGGCAGAAAAGTTTGCTTGGTGGGTTGACTTTTATTAACAGTGTCTGCATGTTGTTTTCTGCTCTTGGTGTTCCCTGAGCAGACAGAGCACCTTCAGTTCCATTGAATAGTTATACACAATCAATAAGTTTCTGTGTTTGTCTTTGTTGTTTCTTTGATGTGGCCTCTAGGATGCTGCCGGCAAGGTGCTGGACCGCTGGGCCATCATGTCTCGAGAAGAGGAAATCATCACCCTTCAGCAGTTTCTGCGGTTTGGAGAAACCAAATCCATTGTAGAGCTGATGGCAATTCAGGAAAAAGAAGGGCAGGCTGTGGCTGTTCCGTCTTCAAAGACAGACTCAGACATTAGGACTTTCATTGAGAGCAATAATCGCACCAGGAGTCCCAGCCTCCTTGCTCACCTAGAGAACAGCAACCCTTCCAGCATTCATCACTTCGAAAACATCCCCAACAGCCTTGCATTTCTGCTTCCATTCCAGTACATAAACCCAGTCTCGGCCCCACTGCTAGGATTGCCTCCAAACGGGCTCCTGTTAGAGCAACCAGGACTGAGGCTGCGGGAACCCAGCCTTTCAACTCAGAATGAGTATAATGAGAGCAGCGAGTCTGAAGTATCTCCCACACCTTATAAGAACGATCAGACTCCCAATAGAAACGCCCTGACCAGCATTACTAACGTGGAGCCCAAAACCGAGCCAACCTGCGTGTCCCCCATTCAGAATTCTGCCCCGGTCAGTGACCTGACCAAAACGGAACACCCAAAAAGCTCATTCCGGATCCACCGGATGAGAAGGATGGGGTCAGCCTCTAGGAAAGGAAGAGTGTTCTGTAACGCATGTGGGAAGACATTCTATGATAAAGGTACTCTCAAAATTCATTATAATGCTGTTCACCTGAAGATCAAACATCGATGCACCATTGAAGGCTGCAACATGGTCTTTAGCTCCCTCCGAAGCCGCAATCGTCACAGTGCAAACCCTAACCCTCGCCTCCACATGCCTATGCTAAGGAATAACCGAGACAAAGATTTAATCCGGGCCACATCAGGAGCTGCCACCCCCGTCATAGCAAGTACAAAATCAAATCTCACACTCACCAGCCCCGGCCGGCCCCCGATGGGTTTTACCACTCCCCCACTAGACCCCGTCTTACAGAACCCTCTCCCCAGCCAGCTGGTGTTTTCCGGGCTAAAGACTGTCCAACCAGTTCCTCCATTTTATAGAAGTTTACTCACTCCAGGAGAAATGGTGAGTCCTCCCACATCCCTCCCGACCAGTCCCCTCATTCCAACCAGTGGTACCATAGAGCAGCACCCCGTACCACCCTCTGAGCCAGCAGCGCCAGTAGTGATGATGGCCACTCATGAGCCCAGTGCTGACCTGGCCCCCAAGAAGAAGCCCAGGAAGTCCAGCATGCCTGTGAAGATCGAGAAGGAAATCATCGATACCGCCGATGAGTTTGACGATGAAGACGATGACCCCAATGACCCTGGAGCTGTGGTCAATGACGTGAGCCATGACAATCATTGCCACTCCCAAGAGGAGATGAGTCCAGGCATGTCTGTGCAGGACTTTTCTAAGCACAGCAGGTCCCGGTGCATTTCAAGGACTGAAATCAGAAGGGCCGACAGCATGACTTCTGAGGATCAAGAACCTGAGCGGGACTATGAGAACGAGTCCGAGTCTTCAGAGCCCAAACTAGGTGAGGAATCCATGGAAGGGGATGAGCACATGCACAGCGAAGTGAGCGAAAAGGTCCTGATGAGCAGTGAGAGGCCCGACGAGAACCACAGTGAGCCCTCTCACCAGGACATCATCAAGGTGAAGGAAGAATTTGCAGATCCCACTTATGACATGTTTTACATGAGCCAGTACGGACTATACAATGGTGGGGGAGCCAGCATGGCGGCCCTGCACGAAAGTTTTGCCTCCTCCCTGAATTACGGCAGCCCTCAGAAGTTCTCCCCAGAAGGTGACCTGTGTTCCAGCCCAGACCCCAAAATCTGTTACGTGTGCAAGAAGAGTTTCAAAAGCTCCTACAGCGTGAAGCTTCACTACAGGAACGTTCACTTAAAAGAGATGCATGTCTGCACGGTGGCTGGCTGCAACGCTGCCTTCCCCTCTCGCCGGAGCAGAGACAGGTCAGTAAATCTCCATTGGCTGCTCCTGCTGGGGGGAGGGGGCCTGTCATTAAAAAATCCAACGTAGATGTTTTGATGCACTATCGAGATTGTCCACAGTGACCACACGATAACCAAGCTGCCATGCTCATGAAGGATTGTTGCCGTTGGTGCTTGTTATGATTAAGCATGCAGAATCATATGCCATCTTACCCAGTAATGCACGCCATTTTTCTCTGTGCTCTGTGTATGTGTGTGTGTGTGTATGTTTTTCCATGCATCTAGGTGTGTGAATCAGTTAACTTTGTACACAGTTCCCCTGCTTCCCCATGAACCTTCACTTAGAAGCCTCAGCTTCTGTTATAAATATTTCTGCTTTGCCTTGTGGCTTTTTAAATTAAATCAATATATTATCTTCATACACACATATTTATCCAATATAGAAACAGAAATTTACGGATGGAAAGAACCATAGGTCCAGGACATCGAGACAGCCTGCATCTCCGTAGGTATAACCAGAAATGTTATCATTCTTACATGAGTATTTAGTGTGTCCTTGAATTCTTTGAGTCACAAAAATATGAGAAGAAAATGGGACCAAAGTAATTGTTCATATGGGGAAATGGTGTGGTGATACGGGTTTCTTTATGTTAGCTTCACAATGTATTTGAGCACATCTCTAAAACACAGTCTATCATGGGAATTATGCACACAGAAGGGGAGGCATGCATATACTTTTAGGAGCAGTTAGAATATATTATGTCCAGCCTTCAGATGACATCACACCTTAGCTATGTAGCTGCAGCTCTGAAACAGTTGGGCTTAAACAGAAGCAGCTGGTCCTAAACCTACAATGTTCTTTTTCAGCCCTAAAGAAAATGTAATATAAATGGAATGTGTCAAGGTGGTCAGTGGTGGGGAACCGCAGTTACCCTGCCCTCGGGGAGATAAGCTTGTGAGCAGATCATTTACATAATACACCAGCCCAACCAGTGACACACCAGTTAATTCTCCCTATTATATTGGATGTGTGGTGTGTGTTTTTTTTGGTTTTATATTGTCTTTTAAAAATATTTTTAGAAAAAATTTTATTACATGCTAAAAGTCAATAGATATGGAAGAAACAAAATTAACTAGGAAGTTTGCAAGTAGCCACCACCCAAATTCTAGTGCTTATCAATTAGGTAGAATTCTTTGACAATGTAACATATAATGGAAGTACCACTGAAAAGTAGTGACGTGGTTCTGGAATACTCTGTTTTGTCTTCATATTTTAAAGATCAGTCTTTTTAAAAATAAAAGTTAAAATAGTTTTATTGTACTGAAGTACAGCTCAAGGGGTCCAATTCATGAAAAGCAAAATTTCTGAGAAAATGTGGCTTACTTTCTACAACTCAAAACAGGCTTTGAAGAGAAATCTATCTTCTTAAAGCTTTCCCCTCCCTAGTCCCGTACCCCCCCACTCCTTTTTACCTTGTTCTGTAAAAAATGGTTTATGATCACAAAATTCTTTTCAGTTCCAGGGTATCGTAGACAGTCCCAGAATATGGTAGATAAGATAGCTATAGTACTTTAAATAATAAAATATAATGCTGTACCCAACCTCTTCCTCCCCAAGTTTGTGAGTAATGTTCATTCTTTTAAATTTGAAATAGTGCACTAGTGATAATGAGGTTAATGCATTGGATTCTTTTTTTTAACAAAAATAAAAGACTCATGAAAACCTGCATAAAATATTTATGGAAATGGAGTGTTTGAAGAGAAGCCAAAATTTAAGCCTATTTGCATGAATTCCTATCACTGTTTCAGTTTGCTTGCTGAAAATATTGCAAGTCATAACACTGGAATAAAATGACTCTGGGTCCAAAAGGCTACAACACCCAAAGCTTGGTGCTTTCCTTTATGTCACTGTGTTTTTTATGTCCTAATGTATAAGGAGGTACTGTTGAAAAGGTGGTTTGTCTGAGGAAAAAGCATTTATTGATAGGGGAATGTTTCAGTCTCCATTTTTATTCTAAGGATTGGGAGCTTGCCAAGTGACCAAGTTTATGGAAACACTAGAGGCCCAGTGCATGAAATTCATGCACTCATGGAGATGCCCCTCAGCCTGTCCTGCACCCCCTAGCAGTTCAGGAGCCGTGGGGGATGTCTGACTGCCGGCTTAGGCCCGCTCTCTGGGGAGCGGGCCTAAGCTGGCAGTCGGACATGCTTAGTGCTGCCACGGAGGCGGGAGAGTCTCCAGCCACCACCACTGCGCTCGCCAGCTGTGAGCCTGGCTTCTGGCTGTGCGGTGCTCCCCCTGTGGGAGCACACTGACCACCAGGGGGCAGCTCCTGCGTTGAGTGTTTGCCTACTGGTGGTCAGTGCATATCACAGTGTTCGGTTGTTCTGCCATTTGGCCGATTTGCATATTAGCCGTTGATTATATAGGATAGGCCAGTGTCTAGGATAACTAGTATATTCTAGGTGGGAAAACAGTACTGATATTCTCCAGGTGTGTTTAGCCATATAGGGAAGCCTCACAAGACAGGGGGTACATTTTATTTGGCTGAAATATCCCATCACACCTAATCTTTTAAATTCTGGATATTGTCACACATGATCAGTGAAGAAATTGAAAAAAATACTGTACAAAGAAAGTAATTTGATTCTCACTTGAAAATTTGCTTTTCAAGAATACTCAAATATTGTAATCCCTCACTAAAAGCTTAAAAAAATTGTGATACTTTAATTTTGACTTTTTTTTTTTTTGGCTAAGAAGCAATGTGTTCATCCCTGTTGAGTCTATGACTTGAAATAATATACAACGCAAGTATATTTACTACCAAATATCCGGAAACAGTGAGGCCTTTTGGATACCAGCCTTCTCCTGCATCTCAGCAGATTGCACTCGAACATAATTGTATCCCTGTTTCATTCAGCCTTTTATCACCATTTTGTCAGCTAATATTGACCTGTAATTTAATCTTATTCACAAATCCTCTTGAATCACATCTCTGATCTACCCGCTTTGACTTACCTTCCCCTTCTCTTCACCTTTCCTGTGTTAGTCACGAGAACCCCAGGAACTTTGGGCCCCTGCTTTTCCCTCTGCAATGAAGCCCAGACAAGTTTTCTTTTCTTTTCTTTGAGCCAAGACCTTCCCAAACAGAAACCATCCTTTGCCTTTAATCCTGCTGTCCTCGAGCCCATTTCTTTCCTCTCCCCAGAGTCTCGATTCATCCACCCTTGACTGCACAATGTCTTCCTTGTGCAAATAAAGCATTAGAGGGGATTTGGACTGGGGGGCTGAGGTACGCAAGGCTACAGGGTTTCTAGGATGCCTGTGATAAAACTAACAGAATAACCCCTTCCCTTCTGTTCATGAAAGCAGCCTTCTTGTCTTTGGGCTTAGAACACCTTAACAGAGCAGCATACACACCTTCTGGGCTTCTTCCAAGAAGGTTATACACGAGGGAGGTGTATTTTTGTCTCTAGATAGGCATGTTAGTAAGATGAAAGTAAAAAGATGTTAAATACTGTGTTTTAGATTTGGCAGCTAGTTAGCAGAGATTTCCAGATCGTTGCTTATGTTCTTTCTAGATTTTATAAGATCAAGTTGAAGGCTTTTTGATAAGCAAGAATGTTCTTTGTCTAAAGACAGCAAAAAGAGAGAAGGAGAGAGTGGTGTACACACAAGGTTAGTGATGGCTGAGGATTCTAAGCCTCCTTCTTGACACTGTTGTGAATGAGTGTGAGTTTGCAAAATTCAAAAGCAGAGAGGACCACCATTCCACACTAACAACAAAGAGCAAGCTAGTAAACACAAAAGCCAATTCATTCTGTGGGTAGGTGGCTATTAGAATAACATAAATTATTTTCTCTCTAAAGAACTATGATACCATGAGATGATAATATTATGTAGTGTTAGTCCTGAAAGTCTCTAAACTCCTTTCTTTCCTTCCTTCTTGTTTATCCCATGATTTTTTTGCTACTAAGAAGCTGTTCTGTCAGGGAACAGGAGGTTGTCCCTCAGTTTTGAAGAATACATATGAAATACTCCCTGAGAAGAAGTAAAAATAACTAACTGGCCTAGAACCTACAGTCCCCATAAGACGAATTTTCTAGAAGACACTGTCATAGAATTAGCTGGGCCTAGTTTGCCTTTGGTCGCATTCCCATCCTCTGTCTTGAATTTTGATCCCTGGGAGGGCTGAGTGGCCATGAATCACCTACATTTAAGGGAAGCCCATTTACTAATGCCAGTTGATTTTTATTCAGAAAATACACAAATACCCTCTGTCCTCTTCTTCCCATTTGCTAATATGTTAAAATCTGTTTACATCTGCTTTAGTGATTGGCAATTTTAAAACTCCCTCATCTGAAAGGAAGACTTTCTATATAGAAACTAGGTGATTTGCATAGGAAGAAGTATATGTCTCTTTGTTTTTCATCGTAACAGGACTTTCACCATCTTTGTACCTCTCTTCCTCTGAGAATAGTGGCCAATAATTGCCAAAGTTTGTCTTAAGTTTTATCAGAAAGGTAAAGTATATATGTTTGATTTTCAAGGTGTAGGAAAGGTGATTTTGCTCCATGAATAAATTGAAAAACAAAATAATATTTGCTTTGGGTGATTTATAAATAAATATGAGGCAACCATTGGTACCAAGTGCAAACCTTCTCTTTGATTGCTAGTTAAATCCATCCAGATTTAAACATGTAAACTTCTTGATTTATATGGAGTAGGACATCTGTATTTGGTTTATTAAAACCTGCTGATGTCTCCAGAACTAAATTTGTTCATATACAGGCCTCTGGGTAGCTGTAGCTAAAAAGCAGAGATGTATAGTTTTTGCTTGTCTTATTACCTGACTTCCAGCCCTGTACAGGTGTGCAGGAATAAATTAACATGAGCTACCTCTGATGAGCCACTGCATAGATTAACAACAGAGGTGAAGATGCGAAAACATGCTACCTGCCTCCTGTTATCACCTTCTCAGCAGCAACATCCATTTTTCTCCCATCATTCTCTGGAAAGATTTTCAATAAATACTCTTGATTCCACTAGGCAATACCTCCCAGAAATGAGACACTTAGCACCAATTCAAGATAACTATTAGTATATTTGCCCTAATATAATTAGCTGTCGAATACAGTATGTTAAATCCTCTCCAGATGCAAGAAGAGAACATTTTAAGGTATCAGCCATTTATCTCGTGTCTTATACATTTGCCAATCAAACTGCAATGCTCCTTTCCCACAATTCTTTCAGGAAGTGAAGTGGTGCAGTTCCTTGACTTCTAAATGTTAAGGAAGCGATTTTTTTCCCCTGTTACTCTATTTGGTTTCACAGTAGAGCCAACAGATCAATAGGTCTTTTGTACTTATTTCCATTACCTTCCATCAAAGGCAAACAAACAAAATAAATCCCCCTCTGAGTAATTGCTGGTTGTGCCCTCCTCAAGCGAAACTTTGGTAGTAAGATAAACTCCAGTGTCATTCCTGTCTCTGGGGTTCCTTTTATACG